ATATAAACTAAACATTGGAAAGTATAATAATTTAGATTTATGATTGTAATCATGTTATATGGTAATGAAAATAATAATTAATGAAAACAATGATTAGAATAATAACCCTGCAATGTGAACCAGTGTGCAATTATTTTTGCTAACTGATATATATATTAACTCGCTTGTCATTCTTTCCAGTTTTCATTGTGATTTTTTTTTTCTGATCATCCTGTACCAAAACCCTCTAACCTAGAGTTATCTATATCTCTGCAGTAAAATATAAGTAAAGTAAAAAGTAAAGGCCCTCCCGTTGATCATCAATTTGCTTGAGCGGGCCCAGTAACGTTTCCATTGGAGACTTTGTTGTTACTGTGTCTGGCATATCGAATACGTCACGGGGAGCTTGCCAGGCTCTGCTGTGTGGGCGAGATACTCTAGGTAGCTTGCCGGGCTCTCCGAGAGGGGCGGAGGAATCGAACTCGGGTCGGCCATGTTGGCTGCGTGCAAGGCAAACGCCCTACCGCTGTGCTATCGCTCCAGCAGTAAAATATAAGCCCTATAAAAACAGGAAATTTGTCTCTGAACAGTTATATCCCAATACCTGAAACAGTGCCAAGTCTGTGTTGGGAATATAAACAAATGAATAACTGATGGATAAAACCAAATTCTAATGAAAACTGCATCTTAAGTGAATTATTTTCTTTTCTTTTTTGATTATAAAAGTGTTTTATGGCATGAATTGCAATAAAATATTGGTTAGGGGCAAATGATCTCATGACTCTTAAAAAAATTTCCTGTAGTAAACCTGAGTGCCTAAGAACAGATGACTGGTTAAAGAAACTTTGGTACATCTACACTATGGAGTACTATGCAGCTGTTAGAAAAGATGAAGTCATGAAATTCATATACAAGTGGTACTACATGGAAAGTATCATGCTAAGAGAAATGAGTCAGAAAGAATGGGACGGACATAGAAAGATTGCATACATCTGGGGAACATAAAGTAACAAAATAGAAGACTAACACCCAAGAATAGCCGAGATAAGTACCAGGAGGATTACTCCATGGCTTTGAGGACAGCCGCATATGCTAGGGGAAAAGGCAGCTCAGGTAGAGAAGGGAGCATCAAACAAAGGGTGTTGAGAGGTTCCTCTCAGGATGAAAGCTGTGTGATGAGAGTAGACTATAGACCGAACAAGATTGCCACTCAATGGTCTCTTTTGCAAACCACAGCATTCAAAAGGAAAGAGATAACAAAAGGGAATGCCCTGCCACAGAGGTAGGATGGGATGGGGGGGTGGGGGGTGGGAGGTATACTGGGACTGGTGGTGGTGGAGAATGGGCACCGGTGGAGGGATAGGTATTCGATCATTGTGTAACTGAAACCCAAGCTCAAAAATTTATAAGTCTACAAGTGTACCTCATGGTGTTTCACTAATAAAAATTTAAGGGAAAAAAAATTCCTGTGGTAAAAATGGATATGCAAAATCATTGCAAGGAAAGTAAAAAGAAAGAAAAGAAAGAAAATGTTAAGACTGCCCTAATTGCTAAACAACTTTGAGCATTAAACTACTAAAAGACTAGAGATAAACAAAGCTGGGCAACTTTACTCATCATGGAAAATATTCACTGGGCATACACAGGAGCCAAATCTGGAGAATGTGCCTGGGAATTACCACACGGTGAAGTAAGGATGGCAGCTCTCCCATTGCCAGCCTCTCCACACATGGCGCTCTAGAACAAAGAGAATAGCTCAAATAGTATTTTTTTAGCAACTTCTGTTGCTAATGGTAAGGTGAAGAAACAGACAGTAGAAAATTCCATTTTTCTAGATCCAGCGAAGTATTTTTTTTCTTTTTGGGTCATACCCGGCGACGCACAGGGGTTATTACTGGCTCTGCACTCAGGAATTACTCCTTGCAGTGCTCAGGGGGACCATATGGGATGCTGGGAATCGAACCTGGGTTGACAGTGGCTAGGCAAACACCTACCCACTGAGCTATCACTCCAGCCACACAGGGAAGTCGTTCAGTGGTAAAGTACATGCTTCACATATGTGAGGCTTTGGGTTTGATGCCTAACACCAGAAAACAAATGAAAGTAAGGCAAAGAAAAAAACTACTTTGAGGGGCTGGAGCGATAGCACAGCAGGTAGGACATTTGCCTTGCACATGGCCAACCCGGGTTCAATTCCCGGCGTCCCATATGGTCCTCTGAGCACTGCCAGGAGTAATTCCTGAATGCAGAGCCAGGAGTAACCCCTGTCCATTGTCAGAAGTGACCCCCCCCCCAAAAAAAAAACTTTGACTGCTCATTCCACTCTCCTCCACAAGACCCTGGTAAAAGATATATATTATATTTATATTTCTCATTCATTAAAAAAATTTGACTTTGGTAGACATTTAAGAAACTTGTGGAGGCTGGAGCAATACAGCATAGCAGGTAAGGCATTTGCCTTGCATGCGGCCAACCCAGGTTCAATTCTCAGCATTCTATATGGTCCCCTGAGTACAGCCAGGAGTGATTCCTGAGTGCAGAGCCAAGAGTAACACCCCTGAGCATCGCCAAGTGTGACCCAAAAAGCAAAAAAAAAAAAAAAAAGCAAGAAAGAAACTTGTGGGAGGATTATCTTTCAAGGGAGAGCATTTTTTCATTCATGTTCTTTTTCCACTCTTATTTTTTTGTTGTTGATTAAATTACCAGACATTCATTGAATATCATACATGCTATATGTTGAAATACACCATGAACAATTCCTTTATGATGCAAAAGACAGATGTATAGGAGATGTATAGGAAATAACAAAGGCCATGCAGTATTTCAGTTTCTATGTCAGATACTAGCAATGTATAGTCAGAATAAAGGTAGGCGTGTTTCTATATGAATAAGTATGGTATATATCAGAATATGTTAGTAGTTGGGTAATGTTAAGTTAAAAAATAAAATGCATTTATTATTTTTTGCAGTGCCTGACTGTCCTCACCGCCGGGGTCCCTTGGAGGGGAGCGGGTTGAGCTTTCCTCTCTGCCCCGACCAGGGCTCCAGCAGCCAAAGACCTCCAGGACCAGCCACCACCATGCTGAGACCACTCTCCGCACACATGAAGGTACTGGCAGAGGGACAAAGTCACGCGGGTTCCGGGGCCGAGATCTCCAAGCCTACTCGGATTTGGGTCGAGCATCCTCCACCCAGATCCTCCAAATTCCAGTAGGCGGGGGTCACACCCACCAACTGGCCCCCTGGCGCCGTGTAATCCCATCAACGGCCAAGACTCAGAGACTATAAAAACCAGCTCCCGGAACCGTGCGGCCACGACATCCTATTATGACATCTTATTATCTCATTCCTACTTTGGACAAACTGGCAGGCTACCGAATGTAGCCCGCCCACACGGCAGAGTCTGGGAAACTCCCCGTGTCGTACCCAATATGCCAAATACCAGTAACAATGATGGGTCTCATTCTCCTAAAGAGCCTTGAATATAATCTCAGGGCTAGGATGAAGGAGACGTTACTGGGGCCTGCTTGAGGCAATCGACGATTAACAGGATGATTTGTGATTTGTGATTTTGTGTGTAGTGCTGGGGATCAGACCCAGAACCTTACACATCCAAACATATACTCTGAAGCTGAACCATATCCCCAGCCCTTGGTACATTATCACTGTCACTGTCCTCCCATCGTTCATCAATTTGCTTGAACAGGCACCAGTAACATCTCACAACAAATTGTGAGACTTGTTGTTACTGTTTTTATCATATTGAATACATCACGGATAGCTTGCCAGATTTTGCCGTATCTTGCCAGCTTGCCGGGCTCTCCGAGAGGGGTAGAGGAATCGAACCCAGTTCGGCTGCGTGCAAGGCAGACACCCTAACCGCTGTGCTATTGCTCCAGCCAGCTGCCTTCAAAGTTTCAACACAAAGTGTGCTCTGACTACTTTCATTGCATACTTTCTATTTTTTACCATTTATCCTGACAAAGAGAACAGCTATTAAGTAATAAATATTGAGGAAAAAAATCCTGTTAGTTGATGAGACAAATTACTAGTATATTTGCTTATATTAAGCATACAAGACTTTTACTTAGGTTTGGGTGTTAGAGAGTGGAAATTTACTGTCTTCCAGTTTCTGTGTTTTGTTGTGGGTGGTGGTGGGGGGGGGGCAAGTAGGGGTGGGTTGGGTTGTACTGATTAAACTTATTTTTTGAAATATTTCTAGATTTCAGTTTTGCCAGGCTGAAGACTCTGAATAATAACAATGTATTCATTTATCCTGCAAAACTTTTTAATTAAAAACATATCAAAATAAGAGAATAAAATCACACTTATCCACAATTTTCACCTTAACATTTTCTTTCATGCTATATCTACCTTCAAGAAGATTATATGCCATTAAAGGATGATAGAAAAACAGTTTTTGACTTGAACTCACATTTTCATTACAACATAACTTTGTGTGCTCATCTCTGCAGATTGGTGGTGGCACAGTTCATTTGGAAGTAAAATGGATAATATACACTTTTAGAAATACCGTTACTAGAGAAAAAAATGTTTTAGACATTTCAAAATTTTAAAATTGTTATTGGAAAAAAAGAATTAAAAGTAAGTTGGAATGTTAGGCAGAACAAGAGAGCTGTGCACTAGCTTTGCTTAAACACTCACTCAAATAGCATCATGGCTACAAACACATGTAAACTAAGCAGAGTTTGGCCTCAAGTCTGAGAAAAGAACAAGGCTTCTAGATTAACAAACCCTTAGCATTACTTGCGGGCTTCTGAACATAAACATGAATTTTAACTTGCACAAAACATGTTTCTAGACATGTTCATAAAACTGCCATTCTATCTGATTCTGTTTAGATTTTTTTAAAAAAATCACTTGTGAAATGCATTGTCAAAAATAAAGAGCATTATTATAGTAAGTGGTTATATTTCAATAGCTGGAATGAAGGTGTGTAATGTTACCAGACCTTTGGTCCTGAAATAAGAGCAAATTATATTCTCTACTGTAGTACTCACAGCTGCTGCCTCCTCGATTAGCCCTCTGTCCTGCTGAATGTTCAGGCTCCTTGTACGGAAACTGCAGAGTCGTGTCTAAGGTTCTGAATCCTTCTTTGAGAGAATGATGCTTGTAGTACTCCACAAGTTCCTTTGGGAAAACAGAATCAAGTATTTTTTTTTAATAAGGAGAGTTTTATTCTCAAGCACATAAATATTTTATATAAAATGATATCAAAGTGAACTATTTAATACTAAAGATCCATAAGTATAGTATAAGGAAGGATAAATAAATGATAATCTGATACCCGGATGTTCATGTACCTACCTAGTTATTATCTTTGCTATTCAGGCTATTCATAATGTGAGTTACCCCTTATTGTTATTCATAGATAGAGGATTATCTTGACAGTCTTCAGTCAGATGTGGTAAATGAAAAGAAACCATATTAAACCTCAATTTCAGACCAGCAATTATTGTTATTTATGAAATACTTGCCTTTCTAAACAAAAATAAAGGGAACAGCTGTTTGCTGAACATAAAGCAATTCCTAGTTTCCTGAATTTTCTTCTAGCATGGCATAAAAACAAACTAGATTCTAAATGTACTTTTCACTGCAAACCAAAGTTGGTAAATCACAATGTAACTTGATATTGCTTATGACTTAACTAAAGTGTTAATGTCCATCTCAGCTCTGCATATTGTCCAGTTTTTACAAAGGTCAGTAATATGGATAATTCTGGTTATATTTTATACTAATCTGCTTTAAATATATGAGACTAATTACTATTAATCAGAACATTTCTTTTGAGGTGTTGGTTTCATAGATTGCTAGGATCATAATTCCTCCATTTATAACAGAAAAGAGTACTAATCCATAGTGAAAAAGTATATTATCATTTGATAAAACTTTAGTGTATCATTGTACAAAAATACCTAATATAAAAATAAAATCACTTTGAAAATTTTTACACTTCATTGACTCACCATGGGATACACAATCACAAGGTTATTCATGACTGGGTTTCAGCCATACTGGGTTTCATTCATAATGTTCTAATATCCACCCCTTCACCAGTGTATATTTCCCACCACCATTGTCCCTAGTTTCCCTCCAGACAATCACCCCAACCTGCTCCTCGGGCAGGTACTTTTCTTCTTTCTCTCTTTCACACTCTTTCTTTTCTTCTGGGCATTGTGGTTTGAAATATATGTGCTGAGAAGTTATCATATATATCCCTTTACCTACCTTCAGCACTTTTAATCTGTTTTGTGCTTCTAGAACAACTATTTTTTTAAGTAGATAAGACACTCATTTCTTTTAAAAATCACTGCCACCAATTTAGAATATCCGACCTGAGTTCGATTCCTCCGCCCCTCTCGGAGAGCCTGGCAAGCTACTGAGAGTATTTGATATGCCAAACACAGTAACAACAAAGTCTCCAATGGAGACGTTACTGGGCCCGCTCGAGCAAATCGACGATCAACGGGAGGGCCTTTACCTTTACCTTTACCTTATTCAGTGATTATAATCAAAGTTCCCTAAACAAATCAATCTGATCAGAAATCACCGGGAAAAAAACAGAGAGAGTCAGCAATGATTTATTATTTATGACTGAATAGGGAAGAGTTGTAGAATGTAGAATGAACTTTGTGAGAAATCTTAGGGGTCACATAGATGATGATGATAAGGTTTCCACTTTCTGTGAGTTCTTGACTTCAAAGGAGAATGAGGTGTTATTAATAGGAGCTCTAAGGCAAAAAGGGAATTTCTTTTCACAGGTCCAGCAGGGAGGAGAAGGGAAGATTTTATGATAAATATAGTTTGACTTCAGTTGAAGAACAGGTACAATTTCTTTTATTATTATTTTTTAAATTTTTATTAGTGAAACACCATGAGGTACAGTTGCAGACTTAAAAATTTTTGTGCTTGGGTTTCATTTATACAATGATCGAGTACCCATCCTTTCACCAGTGCCCATTCTCCACCACCACTAATCCCAGTATCCCTCCCACCCCTATCCCCCCATCCCACCCTGCCTCTGTGACAGGGTATTCCCTTTTGTTCTCTCTCTCCTTCCCGGTGCTGTGGTTTACAAAAGAGGAACTGAGGGGCAATCATGTTCAGTACAATTTCAAAAGCCAGGAAGAAGATTATTGTAAATATAAAAGTCAGGCTGAGAACAGAAAGGTGATTAAAAAACATATTCATAAACAGTATGTAGTCTTGTATGGGTGACGCTTTTGATAAAGTAAAGGTGGAGTTTTCAACACTCACATCTGGAAAATGGGGATAATAAATCATTTCACAGATTATAGTAAAGCATATACTAAGTGCCTGGTGCATGTGAATAATATTATCATTATCTCACATGCTAGGCCTTTTGTACAGTTTCTTACAATCTTTTCCTGGGAAACAAGAAATAGGCAAAGTCCTTCACTAATGCTCAGGTCTTGGGTACAAGGTAGAAGAGCTGGGATATGTCTACAAAGTTTGTGTTTTCAATTGTATCATGAGATTATTAGAAAATAGTCCTTACATAAGAAAATACAGGTGAAAGGAAATAAGAGGAAAAGGAAAGGAATACTTTCTAAAGTGCCTATGATGTATTAGCACCTACACAGCCCCTAGCTACTAGCTTCTAGAAATTATATTATTATAACTTACAACCATTTTTTTTTCATTCTATTTTCCTTCCTGGCCCTAGAACATGTAGGGTCTTTGAGGACAAAAAGAAACTTGGAATATGACCATCCTTTATAAAAATGAGAAAAGGAAATAAAAAATACCAGACAGAAGCTATTATTTTCAAAATGATTTAAAAAATGAGATATGACACTTTTATTATGGTGATATTTAACATGCTTACAAGGGCAAGTATAGGATTAAAATCCTATTCAGAATTAATGCTACTACTTATTTAATATTTTAAAGTGGAAACCAAAGTTCTATAAGATCTTTGGAAGACCTTTACAAGTATAAATGATATTTTAGATGCATATAAGATGTTATTTTACTCATGTTATACAACCCAATAAAAATATTTATCTTTAAAAATAATAAACTATAAAGAAATCATGCCATTAACTCTGACCCTGAATGCAATCTTATAGATAATATGAATTTTATGCAAATATTACATGAAGTTGACTGAGACCTTAGAGCTAGCACACTGAAAACCATGGTGATCATCTACTACTTATCTGCCTCTAAATTTGATGTAAGAAGAAAAAAAAAAGATCGCCAAATCTGTGGGTTATGTGGCTTGGTGCCTTGCAAATACACTTTTCTCAACTTTTCACTAAAACATGGAAGATAATAGCTCCACTTTCACAGTTTTTTTAGGGTAAAGCTTCCTCCAAGTTTCTAACTGGGTAGAATTAAATTACACCATCAAGGATCATTTCCAATCTATGCCTTTCTGCATTTGTATTTTAATCTAATCCATCCCTGCCTTAGCAGTCATTGACCTTCAGGTACTACAAGTAAATAAGAAGATTCTAGACAAAAGAAACTGCTAAGCTTTCCTTATCTCACACTCACACAGCAGTGTCAACAATTTAAGTCTCTGAAAAATAATGAGTGAGAGCCAATCATTCCAATTACCAAGGAAACAGCAGTGGGGCGATTTATAAACAGCATTTGGACATGGATTGTCTGGCATACATGAAAATTAGAATAAAATTAATGCCTTGTAATCTGGATACAGAAATTCATTTAGAATTTGAATTTAATAGCTAAGAAAAACAGAGTTTGATTAAACAACCTGGTCAAACCCAGGGGACAAGGTGGAGTCAAAACCACCTAAGGCCAATGTTCTCTTTGAGAAACTGGCTAATTTAAAACAAGTTCTGGAATTTGCTTGCATTGTACATCCTTCCCAAATTAAACTTTAATTTCAAATGTTAGCAAGTTTTACAAGTAGGAGAATGTAACTTTATCAGCAATGATAGCACACTGAACTTTCTGGAAGTAGCAAATCAAATACAGAGACATCTAACAGATAAAGTGGGAATTATAGTACTTGACATGAAGATGATAAAAAGTAACTCCTTAAAGTTGAATGATACAGGTTTAGAGAAGCACTTACATCACCAGAGTGAAGTTAAAGGCCCTTAATAATGCTTTAGATTCCTTTCCTAGGGGCTAGTTACTGAGATGTGAGACTTCCCCTCTGATCAAAGTATCTATGTGACATTTCCCAGGAAAGGTTCAAGGACAGCACTACTACTGGGTTCTTGGTACAGATGGATTTACTAATTTGAAAGCATTTCATCCAGTTCTTTTTCAATTCTTCAAAAATAGTGAGTTCACATATTAAGAAATCAATATAAATTTATCCAACAAATGAACAGAAACTAAGAGACTAAGAGGGATAGCTCAGGATAGCTCAACTGTCTTCTCGGTGATTCTTAGCTATTTGCTAAACTGACACAAGTATATTTCTGAGAGAGATCTTTCAGTTCCTTGTCTTTACTTCTATGGGTATATTCTTTTGCTGTTATCTTAGTTCCACTGTAATTTTGCTATTAATTTTGATTGAGGCGGGGGAGCAGAGGGGGAGGGGAGTCACACCTAGCTATGCTCAGAGCTTATTCTGACTCTGTCTTGGTAGTGCTGGGGATCAAACCTGGTCAGCCACATGCAAGGCAAGCACCTTGTCCACCTGTTATTAATTTTAATCCCCTCCTCTAATCCACTGAACTAAAGCTTCCTTGCAAAGGAGCTTCAGGAAATGGAAGGAAACAAATATTCATGTCTCTAACAGTGGTTAGCTCTGATTATTTTACACATGCCATAGAAAGTGTAGCTTATTTTAGCTGTGACTAAAACTTTCAATTTCATTTCTATAACATAAAATTATTTGAATTATGTGCCTCTCCTGTTTGTACTATAATCACATTTTTCTAAGTAGATAGCAACACTAGGATCTATATTCTCTTGTTCACATCACTGCAGCCTTCCTAGCTCTTCACAGTGAACCTCTCCTATTGATAAACTTCCTTGAACTGAACCCAGGTAACAGGAAGTTGAACTGATTGGCCCTTTCCAACAACTACTCCTTTTATCCTCTTTGATTTTCATCCTCTTTGGGGAGTTCATTCGCTTACTTTGATAGTTGGCAAGGCTGGCAGGCATCTTTGACCCTACAGTGTTTTTTTTTTTAATCATATTAAGTGCAATACCACAGAGTAGCTCATTACCATCCAAGGAAGTTCTGCAGGGGAAGCTGGTGTGTCTAGCAGTGATGCCGAGACCCCCTGGTGCACTCACTTATGTCCAGTTGGGGCTGGCACTCATTATTGGTGTATCTGCCCCACACCTCCCTCCTAGTTTTCATTTTAGGAAGAACTTCCTCAGGCCTTGTTCTCTCAGCATATTTGGCCTGATTGTTCCAACAAAAGACAAGTCACTTCCAGGAACGGAGGAGGCCTGATCTTGGCTACGGATTTGACAGAGTTTACATTTCTCAGGACATGATCTTGAATTTCAGAAACCCTTAGTTTCTGACTTGGGAATGTGGTATTTACTTTTCTTTTCAACTCAAGAGGCTTCATTTCTTTAAAATACTGATCCTGTCTTGAAGCAGTTCTAAATTTTTAGATAGGGCTTTCAAGCTGGCTATTTTGTAAAGCTCTCTCACACTCAGTTTTAACTTTAATGTTAATATCTACAAAGTGCTTGGAGATGTTTTCCGGAAGGATGCTGTATGTACCTTTTGATTGATGGCTCAATCAATGAGTGGTCCTTCCCAATGTTACTCAAAGTACTTAGCAGAGAGCTACAAATGCATCTTATGTCTTATATCCAAATTCTTCATTATCTCAGGAAACTCAAAGTTGATAAACAGACTTGAGACCACTTTTAAGGAAATACAAACTTTTTCTTTACTGTCAGCAATGCATAATGACACATGGACACTGTTCATATGAAATAAGCATAATATTCCAACACACTAATCAAATTAAAAAGTTGTCCACTTTAAATATTGGTAGTCAATCTTTGTTCATCTCAGATAATAAGCAATAATATATTATTTCTATCTATAAATTCCTATTAAACATAAACTTTAGTGTGATAAACTGTTAACTTATGAAGCATAATTATCCAAAGTAACTAATGAGTACCAAAGTACAGGTAATTTGAAATAGTAGAAAATAGACAGTTTTTCCATTTTATAGTACATTGCATTTCTGTTTGAATGAACCTAAGTATAATAGAAGCACTTTACCAGTGGACTCTGAAATATTATGTAAAAATTGTCAACAGCTTACAATGAAAACTATGAACAGGTGGACATATAATGACTGAGTTTCTTCAATTTAGAATTCTCAGGGTTTTGCTGCAAAATTTCAGTATGATTATCACTAAATATTTCAATGAGCAAAATTTTCAAGAAACTATAAAATTAAACTGACCTTTCTAATAACAAAAATTAGGACCACAGTTTGAAAGAATTAATCAATGCTTACCATTAAACTTTTAAATTTTCTATTTTCTGCAATGTGAAAGAAGCCATCTCTTGTTAAAATCTTGATGTGCTTTGCTTCATTATTGTACCTGGGGGCAACGAATAACTTATGAATATAAATGTGTTTTTAATCAGTAGAAATCAATAATTACCAGAGGGCATGTCCCAGTAACATTATAGGAATTAATTCTTTAGACAAAATATATACCTATGCCAATACATCATTGACAGCTAATTAACCAAATATATTTACTAGATTGGCTGATGATATTTGAAGTAAAAAGGGAGAGTTGGATTTGACCAATTATTATGCCCAATTTATTTAGTAAGTCCATTTGGAGAATACAGAGAAACAAAATAAACTCTACTAATGTAGACTCCCAGAATTTACTAGAAAAACACACACATCAAGTCACCAAAAATACAATGTTATGAAAGAAATCTAATGTACCAATTAGCAGTCTATAACACTTAATACAGCTTTTAACAGATATTTTCAAGTATTAATGAACTGTCTGGATGGATGCATTATTTTTGCTGCAATTAGAACCTTGATTTTCAACTTCAGTGTTATACATGTCAGATGCTTTATGCAATTATGAAAACAGGAAATCTATTTTTGTAAAGTACTTGTCCTACTTACTTAATGCTAATTGCATATTCTCCTGACTCTTTGGTCCTGTGCCTCACCAGGTAAGTACTATTTACCCTATTAATAAGTTCAGTTTCTGCTTGCAATCTTTCCATTGCTCCAGCATACCTGTAAGAAACAATAACAGAAAATTTGGAAGATAACAGATGCTAAAAATAAGTATATGTCAAGATTTTAATTTAGTAACAAATCTGAACTGTTTTACATCTACAAGCAATTCCATGGTGTAAAAAAACCCAAAATTATTTAATTCATGGAAATAGAAATGTTCTATGTCTACAATAAATGATCAGGGTTTAATATAGAGTAAGTACTCGGTACATGTTTATCACAAAAATAAATGGGACAAAGAAATAAATCTTTGTCTTGGGTTAGGAAATGAATCATGTCAGGTTCACCGATAAGAAGGAAAAAGACTCACAGAGGAAATTTCCCTGGATAAGTTGCCCTTTCCTGCACATGCACACATACACACACGCACATGGGCACACACACTTCCAAGTCATCTGTAGATCCAATAGATGCCATGAAATGAAGTCTCCTTTGGTAAGGTAAGGTAAGGCCCTCCCGTTGATCATCGATTTGCTCGAGCGGGCCCAGTAACGTCTCCATTGGAGACTTTGTTGTTACTGTGTCTGGCATATCCAATACTCTCAGTAGCTTGCAGGGCTCTCTGAGAGGGGCGGAGGAATCGAACTCAGGTCGGCCATGTTGGCCGCGTGTAAGGCGAACGCTTTGATTATCTTTAAAAAAAAAACTGTATTGACAGTTTTGGGGGAGAGGCCCACCTAATGGTGCTCAGGGCATACTTCTTGTTTTGTGCTGAGAGACCACTCCTGGAACATATGGTGCCAGGAAATTGGAAATGCAAGGCACGTGCCTAAACCTATGTGATATCTCTGGATCTCAAAAAACAAATGGAATTACTCTTAAATATTTTCTTGGATAGAAAAGTCTTTCACAGTTCTGATGACGAATTTTCTTAAGAAACCAGTAGTGAGTAAATTTTATTTTTGTTTTTCAAAAGCAGAGTTCAATTTCTCCTCAGCTGTTTATCTTAACATCTGAATATTATCACAGTAACAACATATCCAAATTTATGTTAAAATATTCTTCAGAACCCTTAACATCAAATAGAGTAGGTCAAGCAGTTAGTGGAAAAAAACTGTAATATATTTGGGACAATAAAAGTTAAAGGAAAATTATTTGTTGATAATAATCTTGCTCATTTGTGGGATATAAAGAAACACAGTAGGGGAGTAATTAATACCCAAAGATAATAGAAACAAAGGGCAGGAGAACAGAACAGACCAGTTGCTTGTTGCTTGTGTCCTAAGTAGGAAGTTTGACCCTCTGGGGAGAGATGTGGGGAAAGGTCAAGGAAGGTAATGATACTGGGAAGTGGTCACTCTAGACAAGGACCGGGATCTGAAAGGAGGTGAAGTGATGTGCATGATACCCTATCAGTAACAGAACTGTAAAACACAGTATATAACAAGGGTAAAAAATGTTTTTAAAGTGCCTGATAGAGAAGTAGGCTGGGGGACAGGAGGGAAGCTGGGGACATTGGTAGAGGGAAGTGGGCACTCGTGAAGGGAATGGTGATTGAACATTGTACGCCTGTGATGCAATCATGCATAACTTTGTAACTTTGTAATTTACTGCACTTCAATAATTTTTTAATAAAATTATATGTTGAAACTGGCTTTCATGTTACTCATGTATGCACATTCTAGAAAACTCTGATTAAGAAGGATTCCTAAAGCAGCATAAATAGCTACCTTAAATACAAACTAAATACTAATGAAAACTTTGCATAATAGACATTAAATAAAAGGTGTTGAAAGAGGGCATAGGGTGAAGTTTAAACTGAGAAGAGTTAAGGTACTTTATGGATATGGTAACTTTGGTTAAAAACACAGTTATGAGGCCTGAGCAATGTACAGCAAGGAGAGTGCTTGTACAACATGCAGCTGACCCAGGATTCAATCCCCAGCGTCACATATGATCCCTGAATACAGCCAGTGGTGATCCCTGAGCACAAAGCCATGAGTAATGCTAAGCATAACTGAGGTGGTCCAAATGCTAGGGGAAAAAGTCAACTCTGGTAACCTACAAAGCACGATCATCTTGAAAGTAATTATAATAACCTACAACCATGGCACAATCTTGACTTACACCTTCCTGTTCAATAGTATCTCTTACAACCCAGTTCACTTGAGTAGTTTCACTTTCTTTCAGGTCCAGAAATTCACTAAACTCCTCTCACTCTCATTCTTCTCAAAGACTGCACTTCTATCTGGAAAACACTCCAACAGCATAAGTTCCTTCTGATAATTAACAGGGAATTTTTTCTCTAGCTTTCCCACGTAAAGAATTATACATCTCACACTCTCCAGTTCATTATTCTCATTTTTGAATCCCCACTTTCCTCCACAGAACTAGTCACAACTTGTATACAGTAAAGGCTACGAACAAAGTAATATATGAACTCAGATATAAAAACACAGCCTGTCCTATGATCATAATGAAAAAGCAGCACATTTACATCAGATCAGCATCGACTCTGGGTTTTAAGTATTTTAACCATTTTTTGAAACGTCTATGTGTATATTTATATATTTCATTTCATCATCCTGTTATTCGTCGATTGCCTCGAGTAGGCCCCAGTAACGTCTCTTTCATCCTAGCCCTGAGATTATATTCAAGGCTCTTTAGGAGAATGAGACCCATCATTGTTACTGGTATTTGGCATATTTGGTACGCCATGGGGAGTTTGCCAGACTCTGCCCTGTGGGCAGGCTACATTAGATAGCCTGCAAGTTTGTAATATTTATATGTAGCATGATTAAATCACGATTAGTATATTCTAGGCATAAGAAGGTATGTTCTTTGTTTTCCTCTCCATAGCTATTCTTTCTTTCCCTTTTGTAACCTCTATGTAGTGAAGTCATCATCATCTTATCTAAATTTGTCAGGTTTTCACATCCAAAGAATATCTGAATAAATTCATTCCTGGGAGTTTTGCTTGCTTGGGTTATTTTTCTTACAAAATCTTTTCAAGTTCTCAAAAAAAAAGTTATAAATCCTCAACCACACACATATTTTTTTTTTAAATCGAATCACCGTGAGATAGTTACAAAGCTTTCATGATTGAGTTTCAGTCATATAAAGATAGAACACCCTCCCTTCACCAGTGTACTTTTTCCACCACCAATGTTCCCAGTATCCCTCCTGCCACCCCCTCCCTACCCCCTGCCTCTATGAGCACGCATCTCCCATCCCTAGTGATTCCTCCAACCATCATTGACTTAGAAAAATACAAATTTTTCAACACAATGCATGTATTGCACCTTTTTGTTTTCTTTTTCTTTCCTGTAGATACTTTGATTTCACTTGAAACTACCTTCTTGGTATAACCAAGATGCTTTCTCTCTGAGCCTGCTGAATTACTTTAAGTTGGTAATGTTCCTTTGCTCCAGTTTCTGGAATTGTTATCTTTCTCTTTCTTGATTTCCTAAGTTCACCCTTATGTTTCCTACAAATGGATTCATAGGACAAAATATATTTGGAAGTTCTCACATCTATAAATATATTTCATTTTACTTAATAATTCAGAATTTGAGTTTAAAACTTCAGGGTGAGAAAAATTCTCTTCAAACTTAAAAGATACTGCTCTTTTGGATTCGATGCTTTTCTGTCTTCTGATTCTTCCTATGTTATCACAGTATTTTCTTCCTAGTAACTTTCATATTCTTTCTGATTTCTCTACCTTATAAAACTACACGATAATGTATCTTCTGGCTATAAGCTGTACTACCTAACTCAATATTGTCCTGGGCTTTCAGTACCATCTTTGATTTGAAGCCATATAGCCTTCTAAGAAAAAAAAAAACAACTTCTTTTTTTATTAGTGCTTTGATAATTACTGCTTTCAGCAACTATCTTTCTGGAATTCTTACTACTGAGTGTTGCAATTCTTGGATTGCTGATATAATTTCTTTTCCCCACCTTTAAAATTTTTCTCAGTCTTACTCTTTTACTCCTCAATAACTTCTACACATTACTTAATTTAGAAGTGCTCTTTCTTGTTTTTATTTCTTTTATGAAACACACAGCTCACCCAATGGATGTATGTTCATCTTTAAATCCTGGAAATGCAAATTCATGGCTTGAAAATAATTTCCTTTGTTCAGTCTAATGTCTGTACTTTCTTTTACTTTGTTTTTGTTGTCACTTTTGTCCTTTTGTTGTTTGCTTGTTTGTGGGCCACACCCAGCAGTGCTCAGGGCTTACTCCAGCTTCTCTGTTCAGGGATCACTCCTGGCCAGGCTAAGAGAACAGTATGTGGTACCTAGAACTGAAACTCTTGTTGGCTGTATGCAAGGCAAGCACCCTGCCCATTTACTATCTCCAGCAATGTGGATTACTGAAGATAATCAGCTTGAAATAATTATGTCTGTATTTTCCTTGGGTTTCGTTTTTCTCAGTGATTTAATCTGTAGTTTAGATTCAAGTTTTTTATTCAAAGTTAGTTACTTCTTCCACCTCTTCTTATTTAAAGGGAAGACATCCAAGACTGCTTGGGATTTGTGACCTGCGGCACCAAGATTGGAAGGAACCTGATCATCTGACAAAACCCTGAGGGTAAAACTGTGTAGCACCCAAATATCAGGATAGCACGGTTTTAACTCTGAGTCTATTTAGTTTTTAAAGATAAAAAACAATTTTGAAATCCTATCTGAATGCAACGAGAGGCAGTCTCTATGTATCTGATCCATCAGTCACAGTACTGGAATTGAATTATATGAAGAAGGTGGGAGTTATCACCACTCAGCATATAGATTTTCCTCTTTTTTCTTTTTCTTTCTTTTTTTTTTTTTGTGAACCCTCTGCTTTCACTGCGGTTAGCAACCTCAATATCTGCTGGACTGCACTACTCTTTCCTTACATGACTGATACTATAAAATAGATCTAATTCTAGTGTTTCTTGCTAGGACAGGAAAAGACAAGTTGCCTGATTACTTGCAGGATGAGGCAGTAGAAACCATACTCTCTAGCTCTGATTCTTCACACATAATCTAAAATAATTCCTACATTTTAAGGACAGGCCTCATTCTTGCTATCATGATATCCACAAACATGAATGATTACTGGAGATAATCAGTTTAATACTGTTTTATTTGCAGCCTATATAGGACACAAAGTTTATCTTTTAGAAAAAAAAAACCCTTATTATGATATGTGAAAAAAATAAATACTGTTGCTGATATTCAATTTCTAAATTACTTGAGAACCACGTGTCATCAACTTTCTCTAATTGGCTTAGTATTTCTAAAATTGAAGGTACCATTTTATGGTACTGTTGATCATTTTGTTCCTGAGCAGAAGGCATTTCACAAGAAACCGCCTGCTTAATGTGTTTACTGTCCAAGCTGCTCAAGGGGGGGAAAAAGTACATTTAAAATTATACTAAGAATTATTCTTTGTTTCTTCCTACTTTTCAAATTTCTTTCCTCATCTGAACATCTTGATGATTTATCATTGGGAACAATATTATTTTAAAAACTTAAAAAATTATTAAAACCCTGTGATGTACAAAGTTATTCGTAGTTGAATTTTAAGCATTCATAGTTGAATGATCCAGCACCATTCCCACCACCAGTGTCATCTTTCCTCTACCAGAGTCCCCAGGGTTCTCCCCCGACCCCCACCCCTAGCCTGTCATCTTTATAGGTACCTTTCAAAGTCTGGTTGTTAAAGTTGGACATGAACAATAGTACTCTAACTAGCCATATTTTTAAATAGAATTTTATGTACTGCAAGGAAATACTGTAAAGCAAAGTGTTCAAAAGCCCTTATTTAGCACCCTGAGTGGTTCCCAGTCACCTCACTACCCATCTCAGAACATCTGCATAGTTATTAACTAATATTTTTCTCTAAAATAGTTATCTTATTAACCATTATGCTTAATTATATGAAAAATAGCCAGAGAAGAAAGGAAACTAATCATCGCTCTCTTCTTGACAGTCCCTAATGTTTTTCAGTGTGATTCTCCATGCTGTCAGCTCTAGTCTCTAGATTTAATTACTTTTAGGATTATAGTTTTGGTTTTTATTTTTTTAATTTTGTGAAAACTGCAGCTATAATTTCTTTCAAACTAGTTAAAAATGGGGAAAATGTTCTCATTGCTAACACAAACATGGGATAAGTTCCTCAGAAAGTTGCACAAAAGCTCAGAGACTGTATTCAATAAGGCAACTCTAGTCAATGCTACAGCAGCTGATGAGAATAACTCCTCACCTAACACAATGTATTCCTATAGTTACCTGGTCTTTTCCATACTTAGGTTATAGAACAGAAAACAATCTGAGTATTTTAAAGATAAAAGACAACTCAGGTGGTGAATACACTTGCAAATTGTACTGGTATCAAAAGACCTTCAAATACCTCACTTGTATTCCTACCTTGAAACCTGGTTTGTATGCATATACTTTGATATAAACAAGATAAACATGTGTAAAACAGTCTTTACCTTTATTTCCTCAATTATAAAAATAGTAACAATCATGTTTAGAGAGTTGATGGAAAAACAAAATGAAATATGAAAAATATTAAACCTTTTATAAATACTTGGTGCATATTAGCTACACTACGATAACTATTTTGAATCCTATATTGTTCCTTCTAGTTGAAGATATCACTGTCTCCTTAAACTGATATCAGATGGGGCTAGAGAGATAGTACAGAGTGTAGGGTGCTTGCCTCTCATATGACTGACCCAGGTTCAGTCCCCAGCACCCAAAATCGTTCCTAATCCCTGCAAAAGTGATCTCTGAGTGCAGAACCAGGAGTAAACCCTGAGCATAGCTGGGTTTGACCCCCAAAACAAAAACAAGTAAAAGCTCATGTCTGAGATACCAATTATCACCATTCACTTCTTTGCTTCTATGAATTATAATAGTGGTTTCTAAGAATTAAATAAGCTTCATAGAGACCCCAAATTTAGCTCTGGAGAGACATTTAGATGTTACTCTTCTTATATTTTATAAAATTAATTTTTAGTATTTACTATCATCTCCATTTTTGCTGTTGTTTAAACCAAGTATTAAAACTAATCATTCCCCTCTTTTTTGAGGCAAAATCTAATTTTCTATGAAATACTTATTTTCCTAAGTCCAATTTACAAATTCACATATGTTCATACACACATACCAGTCTCTGACAGAGCTATGGAAGAAACAGCAGTATGTAAATTCATTATGTTTTTTGTGTTTCATCTGAAGACACCTTTAGCCATGACAAATGGAAATGGAATGTGGTTTACTACCCTCACATTTAAGGCATCCTGGAGCTAAGGGTATTTATTTCAACTTAGCTACATAAACATTTTTAATACTTACCAGGGTTGGCAAGAATAATCTACTGGTTTGGGCACCTAGGATATAAAAAGGCAAAAATAGATTAAGTTTACTTAAGGGAAGCTTTTAGAAATCAATCATTAATTCAGTTCAGCTGATTCAGCGCTATAAAACCCTAAGTAGCACGGTCCTGGAAGTATCCATCAGTAATTTTATACAGAGTGAATCATAGAATATGTCAGATAAGTAGAAAATAATTCATTTCACTTTAATTCATTCTTTCATTCATTTTACAGTTACTATACCTCGAAGGGGAGAGATAACAGGAAAAATATGAATTGAAAACTCTTGGCATTTATTATCAAGGCAGTTTAATCCTAACATAGAAAATTAAAATGAAAATGTTAGGAAAACCAAATAGCCCTCTGCTTTCCCAAGACATTGGGAAAACAGACAAAATCAACAATATATACTGGGTATACACTCTTACTCTGTAAAATAAATTCTAAGCTGATTTTAAAGTACACCTACATGAAAACTTTTCTTTCATGAAAAAGTATGGGAAATGCTTATCTGTCCTGTTTCTCTACAGAACTTGCAGAAGAGGGAAAAACTGAGTATTCTATGCAAATTAATGAAAAAAAGAAAGCAAGCTTCTAGTTGTTGATGGTCATTATAAAATGAACAAAGGCAAAGAGGTATACTAACATTCATAAAAATACAAATAATTAACATATATGAAGTGAGAGAAAGTTTATAAATTCCTATACGTTAGAAAAGATTTCATGAAACACCTGAGTTCTTGCTGTCTACATTAAGTGGTATCCCTGGGCTTTTAACAATGGGTGATTAAAAATACTTAACCAGGCTGAAGAGATGGCTCAAAGGAATGAAGAACATGTCTGTATTTGAGGCTTCAGGTTCAATTTGTGCCATCACATGGCATTTGAGCACCAGTGTGTGTGACTATGATGGCCCTGAGCACTATTGGGTCTGGGCAGTGGCACCTTACTAGACCCAAGAAATGAACATTCAAATCTCACACACTGGGCTGAACACTCTCAGTCAGCCATCATACTCGGTCCCTGAGCACACCAGTACAGGCCAAAATAAGAACAAACACAAACACAAAAGCAAAACCAAAAGCCAACCCAACAAAATTGTTACCCTCATTTGTAGCAGTAACAATCATACTTCAGAGGTCTGGTCAATGAAATTAAGTCTCTGATGATGTGTTTTCATGATGGACTGCTACTATTTTGACCCTTTATATTAATATATATATATATATATATATATATATATATATATAGGCTGGAGCGATAGCACAGCAGTAGGGCATTTGCCTTGCACAAGGCCGGCCTGGCTGAGCCAGGTTCAATTCCTCCGCCCCTCTCAGAGAGCCCGGCAAGCTACCACGAGTATCTCGCCTGCAAGGCAAAATCTGGCAAGCTACCTGTAACGTATTTGATATGCCAAACACAGTAACAACAAGTCTCACAATGGGCCCGCTCGAGCAAATCGAAGAACAATGGGAGAACAGTGACAGTAGTGTATATGTGTGTGTGTGTGTATTTACAGCTATTTATATATATAAATACATATATGTAAACAATTATTCACCTTTCTGTTCACAGCATCACTAAAGTTGTTCATATCGACTTATTTTCATCCTATGGGCTATATTTGATTTTATATTTTGAAGATCTTTTTACGTTGAGTTAATTGATGTTTTTCCCCTTCCCATCCTTGGAGGTAGTAAAAGCTTGGTCGGCACAGACACCTGGGCTTCATGTTCACAGACATTCGGGTTGGGCTGCCTGTCAGCGGTTGCTGTGATGCTCCCACAGGTGCTCAGTGGGGGTCACAGACTGTTGCTGTGGTGCCAGTGGTTGTAAGCCTCTGTGACCGCATTCCAACCAGGACAGTGGCACTGGCGACTGAACTCAGGGCTTCGTGCTTGCAAAGCATGTGCTTTTAGCCACTGAAGCATCTCCTGAGTTATATTTTAGATTTCACCACCATTAAAATCCTTATGTGTTCGAAAGAATGTTGAAAATGAATCACATATTCAAACCCTGCAAATATACTCAGAGCATTTTGTTTCACAAACGGAAATCTGTCTTCAATAGTTTCTCTAATGATGATACACAGCCTCAGATATCTGCTGAAAAATATATTTTTCCTCCTTTCCCTTCTGTATTCTTTTCATATGTGCTTATCCCTCAGTCCTTCTCCCTCTGCTTATAAACAAAGAGAGGGAAAAGTGACATAAAGAGGGAGAGAGGCAGGCAAAGGGATAAGGACTAAGAGGAGAGTAAGAAGAGGGAGAGAGAGAAAGAAAGGAAAGAAAGGAGTAAGAACTAATGGGAGGCAGGGAGAGTGGGAGAGAAAAATGGAGAAAAAAGAACTTTAACATAATCCTCACTGTGGATTCTCTTGCCAGGAAATAGCTAGTGAGTCACAAAATAAGAGGGGGCATAAAATTCTAGAGCATTTTTCTAATTTCTAATGAGACTGATAATGATATGTAGGAAAATAACAGTTTTTTTTGTGGGATCACAGCTATTGATGCTTGGGGATCATTCCTGGCAGTGTTCAGGGGACCATGCAGAGCTGGGGATCAAAATCATGTTGGTTTCATGCAAGGCAAGTGTCCTAACACTTGTACTATCTCTCAGGTCCCAGAGAAATATTTTGTTAAGCCCAGAATGAAATAGTTCTCACTATTTTTTGACTCCTAACAAATAACATGTGCCCCAGCGAGGAGATATCATCTGCTCAGCTGCTTACTTAACCAATCTCATCTTCCAAGTCAGCACACGGTTCACTTATCTGTCTACAACAAATAAATTCATGGTACATTACGCCATGACTACCTTTTATTAATTATGTTAAATTGTAAATACAACTTCTTCATCAGTTAGAATTCAGAATATCTTTGTGTAATAAATTAGGTCATCAAATACCACCGATATGATCTTAAAAGCTGATTTTTAAGGATTTACCATTGTTGATTGCCTGCATTTCAATACACACTCCTGTTGGCTCCTTCTTCCCTACTGTTCTTTTTTATCATAAAAGTTTATCAAATACTGACTACATGCCAGTCTTTTCCTAAAACAAAACTTCAATGATGATTTTTTTACCATATTCTAGAGCATGTAAAGGAAAAAGAGTACTTACTATATAAAATTCTTAATAATCTTGAGTTGATATCTCTAGTTCTTTGAAGACCTTAGAACATAGTTCTTGCTACCTGCCTATATATAAATGACACTGCCTAAGGCATCCACTTATATACATGATGGAAAATTAGATAAGTAATCACTGTTGAATTTATAAATCAAGGGTATAAAACCAATAATTTCTTAAGATCACAGCATAAGATAAAAATATGTGACATATCTCAGAACTAACAGAACAGCTGGTGTTTTTTTATTCCTTTTGTTTCTGAAATTAATTAGGTTTGAGTGAATGGAGTAAATTATACTATAGAGTATATTCTAAAATCAAGGATGGAAGAAACTCACTTTTATAACAAAAAGAGACCCATTTTAGAAATCTAACGAGGGTTGAAATACAGAAAAAAAAAAAACAGATTAAGAAGGCTTTTCTTTTTCTCCCTGAATCATGGGCTTCATTACATTAAAGGAATTTTATTTACTTAGACTCAAAAACTTTAAAATTTTGTAGAAAATAAGCACCCTAAGCTCCAGACTATGGTGAGACTGTCACCCTAATCAAATTTATAAATCTTATAAAACACCATAGTACATTCCTAATATTATATGAGTAAACACTCATTCATTTTCCTTATAGGCACCTAATGTGTTTGATGTTTTGAGAAATTTTCATTATGATATTAAACAAGAATGACAACCCAAAGCATAGAAAAATGTATTTAGAAATTTGATTGAAGAGTCTGTGGACGTGCATGCTATCTGGCATGCTGGTGAACACTCTAGCTGAAGTATAATATTTCTCTGTAACCCAAAGTGACTAAGAATAGATTAGACTCAACAATTCTCACCTGCATGGGGGAGATGTACACTTTAACTGTAACATCTAAACTGTAGATTTAGTTAATTCCTTCTAAAACTTCACAGAAAATTAAATTAAATTTTTAAAATTTGACTAAGCTAAATTTGCCTCTTAACATTTCCAAAACGTTTTTACAATGAGAATCATAATTACTTTTGGAATTTAAATAATGGCCATCATTCAAACTTGAAATAATATGGCCTCTCCAGGAAGTATTAGTAAAATTAATGAGCTTTCTGGTCACTATCACTTGAACATTCTTGTACAATTAATTGCAGTCTTTGAAGCAAAAAAATAATAAATATAAAACTCATACTTACACATGGGCAAGGCTTGACAGCATCACTTGGGAAAAATCCAACCTCTCCAGATGCTAAGTTTCTACCCTAAATTAGAAAAAGAAATGGCAGTGTTGGAAATAAATTGACAACAAATGATAATTTTATAAGATTATATACAGTGTTGTTACTCAGGAGCTTTAGAATTACTAATATGTTGCATATAGTTCTAAGCAGTAAGATAAGCAGAAAGGTTTTAAAAACTATTTTACTTTATTGGAAGTTCCAGATCATGGTTACATAATAAGAACTCTATCTTCCAATCCAACATTCAATTTTGTAAATTTTAAAATTCTCAGTCCATTTCAGAGGTAATTTGCACATGCTATCTTTCAATCTGATATTAACACAAGCAGAGAATATTGGTTTTGTCCAGGGTCTTAACTAATCAGGAATTCCATTTAATGGTTACTATTGATGTCTTGAATGAAACACAAGAGGACTCTACACTAAAATAATGAAACATTTCAGAGCATGTGGAAATGGAAAAGAAAGCCTGAAGCAAAATCTCAGATGGGTTTTAGATTTAGGACAAAGAAGACAGATTTAGATTTAGAATAAAGAAGAAAGATTTAGGGTAAGGTTTATACGACAAAACCACACTATAACTGAAAGAGTCACTGTCACTGTCACTGTCCTCCTGTTGTTCATCGATATGCTCAAGTGGGCCCAGTAACATCTCCATTGTGAGACTTGTTGTTACTGTGTTTGGCATATCAAATACGTCACGGATAGCTTGCCAGGCTTTGCCGCACGGGTGAGGTACTCTTGGTAGCTTGCCGTGCTATCCGAGAGGGGCAAAGGTATCGAACTTGGGTCGACTGGGTCGGTCACGTAAGAGACAAACACCCTACCCACTGTGCTCTCGCTCCAGCCTAACTGAAAGAAATTAAAATAATATGGAAAAAATAAGAAAAAAAACGAACAAAGATTATTATTCTTGGAGACATTCGGTCAAATCTTTTTCTAAACAACTCTCAGGAGTTGGAGAGAGGATTCTCAGCAGGAGGCCCAGGTTGGATCCATGGCACAACACGGTCGGTCCCCTGAGCATTGGTAGGCAGGACCCCTTAGCATTGTCAGGGCTGACCCCTAAAGTAAAAAATATATATCATTACTAAAACCTACAACTATTCCCCTTCATTTTTCAATAAGACAAACTACGCTAAAAACATATATTGAGAGCATAGTTTGACAGTCAAAACATGTAAGTGGTGTAACAATACCACTTTTTTTTGAAATTGAGCTTTGAAATTTGCTACTTAACAATTTTATGTTTCTCAGAAATTCAGATGAGTAAATAGCACCCACTCAGATATGATTGAGTGTAACATATGCTATCATTTCTGATGAAGAAAGGTCACCCAAAAAATGAGCAGAAAAACATCTCCCTCTTGAAGCAGTATCTCCTTTTATCTAAAGGGTTTGTTATCAATAAATTGATAAATAGAAATAAATCTATAAATAGAAAAAACGGGGAGTGGGGGGGTTCCAGAATTATTTTTTAATGCTAAGGAAAAAAAGAACAGAGAGAAAGGGGAAGATGTGGAGACTTCTAGAAGAAAAATTGATGCAAATGAACCAGAAAGGAGGCAAGCATCAGATACAGAGGAAAAAAGAAAAGGGAAGTAGCGATAGATCCAGAGAACAATTATCGTTATTTGGAAAGTTTTTGTAGTGTAGTTGTATATCAAGTGAAAAGTAAGTAATTAAGTGAAATTAATTTACTCAACAATAAAAATTTGGCCAAATACTGAGGAAATGTAAAAATTTATGTTTATGTTTCCTCCCATATAAAGTGAAAAAATGTACATACTTAATTATAATACAATATGGAAAGGGCTAGAGAGAAAATACTGGAAATTCAAAAGATAGAATATTCAGGATTTTCCTATAAGCTATGTGGAAGAGGAGAGAGATAAACATAAAAATTACAGATTTTAAATAAATGAAGATAGACTTTAAGATAGCACAAAGGTAAGGAGTTTGCCTTGCAAGCAGCCAGCCTGGCAGAGCCGGGTTCGATTCCTCAGCCCCTCTCGGAGAGCCCAGCAAGCTACCGAGAATATCTCGCACACACGGCAAAACCTGGTAAGCTACCCATGACGTATTCAATATAACAAACACAGTAACAAGAAGTCTCACAATGGAGACGTTACTGGCCCCGCTCGAGCAAAATCGATGAACAATGGGAGGACAGTGACAGTGATAGACTTTAAAAGTCTGATAAGAAATTATAGCAAGACAAAGACACAGGAGTAAAAAAAACTACGACGTAAAATAGAAATGCAAAATAGTTCATTTTTCAATTGGAAGCTAACTTCCAACAAAGAGTGGCTAACTTTTATTGAACGCATATTGTGTGCTTGACTCTGCTCTGTTTTTCATTTAGTCGTTACAACAATCTTTTGCAGTAGAGCCAGTAACTATCTGATTTGTAGAAGAAAATGAAGCATAGACAAGGTAAATGATTTATCCATGATCACAGAGCTCAAAAATGACAGAACCAGAATTCAAATTCAGATGTTTTACCTTCAGAGCTCTATATTGCTTCTTCACACACATATGTGACTCAGAAAGGACATAGAAATAAAGTGAAATGACAGCAAAGAACCAGTTTGACACCTAAATTTATCTTTGGTGATAGGGTTTCAATCAAGGTGCTACTTACTCTAGAGTTAAACTGACAACCGTGGAAACTGCCTTACAGATGGTCATGACTTAGCAGGTGAGAATATTAGACAACTGTACCATGGAAAGAAGAGAGGATCTGGGTGATGGGAACATAGGCTGGACATTGAGTTAATTTGACTATGCTGAGTTTGCCTATTGGAGAAGAAAAGGCTATAGGATTTTAGAGATTAGGGCAAAAGTCTTTGAAATAAAGATAATTATATAATCCATTCAAACAGATAGTGCAACTTTAGGTGACAATCATTTACTTGTATATTTTTAAAAGCAATTCATAAATTCATTATTTATATTTTGAAATGAAAATATACAGATAAATAAGTTAGTGGAAAATTATAGATATATCTGAATATACTTATAAGTATGTTTATGTTTATAATGGATTATTAAGTGAATACAAAAGCTAAGGTCTATATTTAAAATATTGACCTCACGTGTATGCACCAGAACACATGACACAAAATGGCGAGGCTTAGGAATTTATAGATCATTTTAGGATGCAACAGTAATGCCATTAAAGTAAGGCTATGCAGATGGCAGCATTTAGAGAGAAATTAATGATTAGAGCAAAACTGTTATAGAAGAAAACGTAGAAAGATGAAGACAGAAAAAAGAATTTATGATAATTAATGCAGTTAGGAGGTAGTAAGGAACCACACAATACGATGCAATCAGAAGACCAGAAAGTAGTAATAGCACAGAAACTACAAAGACTGTTTTATTCAACTGCATCAAGTGCATTATGACGTTTTATTTTAAGCCTGGCACTGAGATATAAGTAAATAACGATATTTGGAAACTACACAGCTAGAAAGACCTTTTAAAATGGCTGCAGTGCTACCTCCTTAATCAAATATAAGGTGGTACAGGTGGGAACCTTACACTGATGTAGCCTCAGAAGGGAACGGATAGGGTAATTTTTTTCAGAAGAGAAAACTAAGAAGTCTGGAAGTACATTAAAGGAAATAAGTCTATTTTACAGGAGATAGGCCTGGGAACACTTCATAATGGCCTTTCAAAATTATATTTGAAGATGTATCAAATTATAGCTATCATAAGAATGGTGAACTGCCAATTTCCATTCTTCATTGGAAGAACAACAAATGGTCTTAATCTATGGGATGCAGAATTTTGGGGAAATCGCTGATAGTTTTGTGAGAGCGCTCATTGGCCAGTGTAATAGTACCTATTTCCTCAGGACAAAACTGATGTGGGCCCTCTTATGCAGACTAATACTTTATTCCTCTGAAATCAACTTGCTCATCACCTCCACTGTCATCTCTTCTATAAAACCCCCTTCACTCTGCAACTACTGAGTTAATACTAGCCTGTTCTCCCACTGCACCTTCACATACTTGTAGTAAATATGCCACAGGCAATTATTACTTTACAGTCTTCTTACTGGACCATCAGTCCTTTGAGCTAAGGAACAATATGTCAATCATTTTTAATAATATAATGTTATAAAAATTGAGATTGTAATTTTGTTCTTCCTTCACACATTTCAAGAGCACTAATCAGGAGTCTCTTAGAAGGGAAAATTCTACTCGACAAATGCCAAGGTCATCTTAAATGTTGTTTGCTGTAACGAAATCTCTCAGCGGTACAGGTAATATTCTGTAAACGGTCAATCACACCCCTTAGATGACAGAGAAGAGAGGTAATCTAACATTTTAACAGATGAATAAAATAACATTCCCTCACTATTTCCTACAAGATGTCAGTTTTAGCTCTGGGGGATAATGTGTGCTCTATTCAAAGACTTCTCCGTATTAATGAATAGACTTCCTAAAACATTTGGAAGATTCAAAAACCAAAGAAATGTGTGGGAGGGGTGTCGTTAGTTTCTGGTGGATGTGTGTGGGATGTACATTGATAATTCATTAATATGAATGGGTGGAGCAGTTGTCTGGAACTGCAGATTATAGCTGTGAAATAAATCATTTTCAAAGTGAATGATTTGGTGCATTTTATGTGATGACCTAGCTAGGAGGTTTCTGTTAACCTGGATAAGAGACACCAAGCTGAATTTCCTTCTTTACATTTTTGCGTGGGAATTTTATTCTGGGTCAGATAATCACCCTGTCATTTCTTTTATGCCCATTACAAGTGCCAGATATATGGAATCTTCTCTAAGTTATCCTCTGATCTGATATTTGTTCTTGTAAGTCCTTTAACATCTTCAAGGTTAACCTGAAAACATTCCTCTTTCACGGTTATGTGTCATCTGATGTACTGTCGGGCAACATCTTTATATGCCTTTATTCTTTGGGACATTCTCTATACTATGTGATGGAACTTATGTAAATATAAAAGTATAGGTTAGGTCATGATTGTGAAAATAATTTCTCTGCCAA